CCTCTGGCGGGACCACGTCGGCATTCGGCCGAGATACGCTGGGAAGGGGGCATCAGCAAGCAGGTCGTTGACCTCTGACATTAATAACACGCCACTTTGCGTGTTTTCATCAAACAACAATAAATGTAGCTCAAGCGAATTGTGATCGGACACGGTTTCAAAGGAATGTGTGGCATGTTGACCAGATATGAGGAATGTGAGTTACCCGAATCGCGGTTTGGGTGACTTCACATAAACACGGCCTAAAATAATCCGGATCCAGCCGAATAGATAGACATTCAAGATATCCGCCATCTTTTATCGTCAATCTTAAAGTTTTGAAATTACAGTTTTTCCGGATACAGCCTAAAAGCACAATGCAAATGGCTTACGAAAAGATCTGTAAGTATTAGAAAAATGGATAATTCACAACAGTATCATACTTGTCTTTCATAAAATTAGACTTGATTGATGTAATAACTGATGCTTAATGTGTAATTTACTATGTTGAAAAGATAAGTTTTCCTGTAGTATAATGTCCTTGATAGCAGTTGAACGTGTATGTAAATAATAGTGTATTTTATGTAAAGGAATCCAGGAAGAATAGTGATGTATATATTATCACTAGTGGGAGATTCCTAAATAAACAAACAAACAAACAAACAAACAAACTTGACCAACAGACTTTACACGGTTTTCCTCACTTCACTCAGATAATACGGACATTGTGGCAGTTACAGAAACATGGTTCTCAAAGGATCTCCCAGAAGAAGCCACAGCAATTGACGGGTACAGTCTTCTCCGCAAGGATCGTCTTGACATGAGAGGGGGAGGTGTTGCCCTGTGTGTCAAAGACTGTATAAAGACCAAACCCGTACACACTGACGTACCAGACAATATTGAATGCTTATGGGCACAGATCCAGCCACACTGGACTCCACGCGATGTACCTGTACTTTACCTTGGTGTGCTGTATCATCCTCCCTGGGCAAATGAGAAGCACATCCAACATGAAACCACTCAGTGCCTCATCCGCACTCTAGATGAGCTTCGCAAGAAACATCCTCACGCTGGTTTCATCCTCATGATGCGGAGACTTTAACAACTTACCGCTACAACCTTTGCGAACAAGCCATCCGGAACTGAGACAGGTGGTAACTAAGCCCACTCGTGCTGACGCCACGCTGGACTTGATCATAACAAACGTCCACCAGCACTACCTCGTGCCTGACACCACAGCTCCGCTGGGATCAAGCGATCACAACTGCGTCATCTGGAAGTCTAAGGTTGCTGATCAACATTGCTGTCGGTCGTCCAAGATCAAGCGTCGCCTAGTCACCCAGGACAGGAAAGACGCCCTTGGCTTGTGCATGGGTCTCACGGACTGGTCTGCTGTGTACCGTGCAGAAACAGTGGACGAGAAAGTAGAGACTTTTAACAACATCGTTCACACTATGATGGATACTTGTGTACCCCTCAAGACGAGCAGAACTGGCAGCGATGACAAGCCCTGGATGAACAACACCACCAAGGCAGCGATCAGAGAAAGACAAACCGCGTTTCTGAAGTACGGTAAAACTGACGGGTGGAAAAAGCTTCGAAACCACATTCAACGCCTCATAAGAAAGCAAAAGAAGAAACACTATGATAGATGCATAGCAACACTTAAGAAGACAAATCCCAGAGACTGGTGGCGCTTTGTAAACAATCAGCTGGGACGCACACAAAAGTCAAACAGGAAGACGACCTGGACTGGTGTCTCTGATAACCAAGTCGCTGACGTACTGAATGACTACTTTGCAGAGGCGTGGTCAGACAGTAGCACTTACAACCTGTCCCCTCTTCCAGTGGGTTCGGACGAGCTGTGCAGTATAGGCCAAGTGAAACAAGTCTTAAAACACCAGCAAATATGGAAAGGCTTGTGGACCGGATAACATTCCAAACTGGGTCCTGAGTTTGTACTTTGCGGACTTGGCTCCTGTTATCAGTCACATGATGAACTTTTCTTACATCACTGGTACCATGCCGTCCTGTTGGAAAGTGGCAAACATATGTCCTATCCCCAAGACGTCCGTCCCCACCAGCAAAAAAAGACTGGAGACCCATCTCCCTTATCTCTTCTTTGGGGAAAGTTCAGGAAAGGCTAGTCTTGAACAAATTCTTGCCCTTCATGTCACCCTGGATTAAGGACCAGTACGCGTACATGCCCAAATGTTCTACAACTCTCGCACTTGTAAAAGCCTATCAGACATGGCTATCGAACTTGGAAAACAGAGACACATCCATGGTTCGCGTGCTGCTGGCAGATATGTCTAAAGCATTCGACAGAGTTGATCACGGAATCCTTCTCCAACTCCTAGCTGTCCGTGACACCCCACCTAAGATGCTTGGCTGGATACACAGCTACCTTACTGGCCGAAAACAACGCGTAGTCGCCAACAACCAGCAGAGCAACTGGAACGTCGTCACATCAGGAGTGCCACAAGGGCGAGTGCGTTCTCCGTACCTGTTCCTTGTGTACATGTCGTCAAGAGAAACTGTGCACCAAACAACCAGCAATATCGGTTATGCAGACGACATCGGACTGTCCAGAACGTTCACATGTGACACTGTTGAAAGCGACACAACTATGCAAGAGGAAGCCACGCAACTTGACACCTGGGCGAACAAGAACAATATGATTATGAACGGGGATAAGTCCTATGAGTTGAGATTGTGCTTTTCAAAAAATCCACCTGTTCCACCTCCCCTCACACTTGGAGGCAAAGAAGTCCCGGTTGTTGAATGTGCCACGTATCTGGGCTTCAAACTTCACCGCAGCCTTGGGTTGGACAGCCAAATCTTACACATGGCAAAGAAAGGCTCAACTCGTCTTCACTTTCTCCGCATGCTCAAGAAGGGCGGGATGCCACCAGAGGACCTGGAAACTGTGTATACGACTCTGATACGACCTGTGTTAGAGTATGCAAATGTCGTGTACGTGGGCTGTAACACAAAACAGAACAACACTCTTGAGGCTGTACAGAGAAGGGCGGCGAGAATCATCTACGGCATCAGTACTCAAACAACCCCCTTCTCCACCCTCCAGGACAGACGGGAAACTGCAGCAAAAACTCTGCTCAAGCATATGCGGCATGTCAGCCACCCTTTGCATTCTTTGATGCCCTGCGACAGACACCAGAGCACACGGCGGTCCCTGAGAAATGGAAACCACATCTCCATACCGAAGTTCAGAACTGAAAGACTGAGGAAATCTTTTCTGTTTCAGGCAATAAGCCTCAGTAACCAAGACTTGTAAATAGTCCGCCTCTGTTTTAATGGACCTGACCTACAGAATTTTAAATCTATTTAATTTTAATCGTCAATGTTGTGCTTTTTAATGTGTATCTCTTTTCAAGCTATTTTAACATGCAATCACTCGTGCAATTCAGCCAAGCAATGCATATTGGCTGCCAATCAATGTGAATAAAACAGTTTCAGTTTCAGGTGCAAATGAGTACCTAGCTTCGGCTAGGGACGTCCCTCGGATAGGACGTTAAATAGAGTTCCCGTGTTTGGTGAGAGCCACACCTCGAGCACGTTAAAGATCCCACCACACCTTTCGAAAAAGTGTAGGGGCATGCCCCGGTATGCGATGGTCCAAATACTGGTCTGATTATTCACTACGGAGTCCAGGAAGAGTAGTGTAAAATTCACACTAATGGAGATCCTAAACAAACAAACAAACAAACAAACAAGAATTCCGAGATCTCATACCTCCATGAAATATGGGCTTGATATGTAAATGTAAATTTCTTCTTTAATTATGCAAATGACCTCTGAATTAACATAATACATACATCGTGATGTATGTTAACTTTTGATTAACTTACAGATGTCCCAAGTATGACATTCCCATCATTCACCATTAAGAAATCATAGAATTTTCGCATTAATTATGCAAATTAGGTCATCATTTGCATAATTAGTATCTGTTGATGCTCCGCCTGCCATAGCTTACACACATTACATGTATGAAAGTAGTATAATGTAAAACACTGTAATTTTAGAATTTCCTCATTAATTATGCAAATAAAGTCCTCATTTGCATAATTTGCATTTCATCATGTACAACTGTCTCTCAGGTACCTACACACCAAAAATGATGAAAATACGTTGTTCCAATCTGGACTTATTGGCTTTGAAAGTTTTTACCAGAAACTAACCTGCAGTTCCAGAACAAGCTGCTAGGGGGACCAAACTTA